TAAGATGCCCTTTGAAGAATTTGGAGGTGCCTTGAAGGCAGGTGATTTGGCAGAAATCGTCATTTTACGACCGAACGAGGAGATTAACTCATCGTCAATTCTGGATGAAGCTGTCCTGGTAACACCAATATGGTACTGAACGCACGAAGTGGATCGTCGATCCTGAAGAACCGAAGAACCCCTCGGATCCGTACCAATCTTTGGTAACGGAATTTCAAGGCGTCGTCTTCAAAGCCCCGCCGTCGATCTTACCCCCGGACCGAGGTGTGCGCCATGAGATCGACCTGGTTCCGGGAATCAAATGCTGCACAACACGCCAATGGCCCCTTCCCAAGATGCAGTGTGACGTCATTGACGCCTTTTTGTGCAAAGCACGAGGCAGGAATGGTGCATGAGAGCAAGTATCCCCATTCAACACCCACGTTTTGTGTCCGGAAGCCGATCCTAAAGTGGTGTATCGTTCATGCTTACAATAGGCTAAAAAGCTGCCACCATTTTGGCAGAAACGCCGATTTTTAAAAAGGGTGTTCTCCAAAACAATATGGTTGGCTGTACAAAGTACAGCGCACTCAGCCTGGCCGATGGCTATTACCATATCTCTTGACAGCAAGCGATATTTCGCTGACAGCGGTGTGTACTTCGAGCGGGATGCTCTGGGAGTGGCTGGTGATGTCCCAAGAGCTGTCAAATGCACCAGCAACATAATCGTCTTGTGACGCAATTATTCAGGCCCCATCGGGCGTATGCACAGACATACCTTGATGACATCTTCGTCCACAGTCGTGCGGGCCATGGGATGACAGATGTGGAAAACAACATCGTACATTTGTGAGCGGTGCCCAAGTGCATGCGCACGAATAAGCTGTATGCTAATGCCGAAATGTACATCTTCGGTGCGGAAGAAATTTCCTATTTTGGTGCTTCATTGGGAAGCGTGGCATTCGATCGAATCCCGCAAAGCTCAAGGCTATTATGGACTGGCCGGATCCAAAGAATCAAAAGAACTTGGCCGAGTGTCTTGGCCTCACCAACTACTTGCACAAGTGTCGCGCGAATTTTGGGGAAATGGCACGGCCATTGTTGAATCTCCTAAAACAGAATACGAAACGGTGTTGGGACACCAAGCATCGGGAGGCTTTTGACAGGGTCAAAGACACCAATACTGGCGTTGCCAGACCCCGATCGTTCTTTTAGTGGCGTCTGTGACGCTTTGGACTTTGTCATCGGCTGTGCAGTGCTGCAAGCAGACGTCGAGGGGCGAGATCGGATGATCGCGTTCGAATCAAGCCAGCTTAAGGCTGCGGAGAGGAACTAACCAGTCCACGACAAAAAAATACTTGCGATGAAGTATGCACTTGTCTAGTTCAGGGTGCACCTACTTGGCTCAAGCAGATTGCGATGTACAGAGATCATGCGTCATTGCACACTGCGACTCAGTCAACTCACCTCTCGCAGAGGATGACCAGGTGGCTCTCATTCTTTGCAGAATATAACTTTGAGGAGAAGTATAAGCCAGAAAAGCAGAATGCTTTGGCTGATGCGTTGTCAGACACCGATCTTCCTTTTCGTGTTGTCTGTGATGCTTCAGTTTTTGTCACGCAGACCAGATTATGAGCTTGCTCATGTCACGACGATGACATCGTCAGTGATGGATTTGATCCGTGCCGCATATAGTATGTGCGTAACGCTCGTACGGGCTCTCGTGAGCAAAGAGTCCGAAAACTTGGACAATAAGTCGTCGTCGCCATTGCGCGCACGGTTACACCGATATTCGTTGAATAACGGGTTGCCGTTTTATAGCATCGATTCGACGAAAAGCCACGGATTGTGATTCCCCACGATGAGGATTTGAAATACCGTATCCTATACGAGGCCCATGACACCCCACCCAGTGGTCATCGCGATCGTGAGAAGACGTACAGCTCTGTGAGTGGCCACTACTAGTGGCTCAAGCTGAACAAATGGACAAGCACATAAGTTCACGCGTGTGAGACGTGTCAAAGGGTGAATCCTCTGCGTAAGCGGCGGCGCCGCTGGCTAGTTTACCGGCCGCTTCCGGGAGTTGACCGTTCATGAGTATGGACTTTCTGTTTGGCCTGCCGAAGAACTCGGCGGACAACACGGGTGTGGTGGTCTTTGTGGACCGACTAAGTAAGATGGCTCATCTTGGGGCAGTGCCGGACACCATCGGCGGTGTGGGTACTGCGACGCTTATTGCCGATCGTGTCTTTCGACAACATGGACTCCCGTAGTCAATTATCTCAAATAGAGACCCGTGCTTCACCGGTAAGTTTTGGTCTACAATCTTCAGGTGCCGGGTACCATGTTGACTATGTCAACAGCCGGCAATGAAATTATGAGAGTACGCAACTCTTGAACAAAGTCCACGAACTCCTTCTTGCCCTGTCGTTCGGCAAGGAAACGCGATCGCACGTGAAATGCCTGGTTAGGCGGCGAGAACACTCGCAAAAACGGCAGCTTTAGCTCCTCCAGGAGAACACCACTTTCCACCGAATTGCCGCACGTCAGTGCCCATTCTCGCGCTCGAACACCGAGCTTGAAGATAGCTAGCGTCACTTGCTGTTGCTCATTCTGGAGCATGGTGGATGCCATAGACATCTTGGCCTCTCTCACCCAAAGCAGGGGATTCTCGCCCCTTTTACCCTAGAAGGTCTTAACGCTCATCATGAGCGACCTGGCAGCGCGGAGTTATCCGTCGTTGACGGCGGCGTCATGGACGCAGTCGGCGCCGACATCTTCTTCTCTAGGTGCTCTAGCAGAGCATTTTCATAGTTCGGAAACGTCTCAGGTGCGCGCTTATCGCTTTGGGTCCTTGGAAAGCGAGGTGTTGCACGTCCTCAGAGCCAAGCAGGGACATCGGCCGTACTGCATACCTGGGGCAAAAAGGAGAAGTGCTCCATCCTACCGAGTGCAGCGGGTCTGCCGTGGCTCTTTGCATAGAGGAAGCTTACTACGGCCACTGACCTTATGTTCAATACTAGAACCAGTTCGAGTGTTGCGGATCGCAATCCGCTACCTCCACGAATATTCAAAACCTTACTATAGTCAAATGTACTGTTCCCATTGTGTAATTTTACCGACTTGTGTAATGTACACCTTTGGATGGTTACACCATCTTGTGTGACCCACCCCTGTATACCAGGGTACGTGTAACCCCGTTACAGAAGGAGCTTTGACTCTCATAGTCCGTCTAAGCTAACGACCAGAGGATCTATTCACCGAAAAAATCAAAGACAGATTGATTTCTTAATATGTTTTTTTTCTTCAACCTTATATTATGCACAGCGTGAAGCCAGCAGCCACCTGCCCGATGAACCTCTCGTTCACTAAATTTGATCATATACATCTTACCGAGTACTGATGATGATACTTCATTGTGGTACTTCACCTGAACTTTGTTTCGTACATCATGACACTTATCCCGTGACATCCTCCGCGACGAAGAAGAACTCCAAATATAGTTAACAATATTGCGTCTTACAACAAGTATCACAACATTGTCGTATGCACATAATAGCCAAAACGTATGGGCATAAATCAAGTCAGAGTAATATAACTGTTTTTTGGTTGCGCAATAGGAAATTGGGCATAGTTTCTAAGATATTAATGCTTATTACGAAGATGACCATCCGGCTTTATAAGGAAAAAACGTAAGAGTATTCGTGTGTGGATCAGAAAAATAGATAAAGATGCAACCCTCGCATGAAATTGTTCAAACTGCATAGCTCAACGTGAAGAACGATACAACATTGTTATGTTTGTAGACAACAAATTTCTAGAAGCGAAGAAGTTCAATGCTTAATAAATTAATACCTTATCATTCTAACCATCGTAACATTCATTAATCATTTTAAACAACGTGGACCTTCAAAAAATCGTTCAGCTTGCTGTATTGTCATATGGTCTGTTAGTCGGTTTCTAGTATGTTAAGGGGGTCTTAAATGTTGTTGTAGCAGAAGTCATGTCGGATTCGAAAGTCATCTATAGGTTGTCGCCTGACGTTCGACTGAACACGCGTACAGTGAGCAAGATTTAAAATGATTTTTTAAGATGCTTATGATAGCTGATACACACTGTTACCATACATTCCTATTCGCTCTTATCGAGCTCTAATCAGAAGGTTGATGGCTGCTATACTGGTTACACACAGATATCATATGACCTTTAGAAGTAACGTTAAATTCGTGAATATAGCCATTGAACCGTCGCACAATGCGACCTGAGATGTATATAACATTAACCGATGACAACTAGACCAAAAGCGACGTGACAAGACCATTTCCGTACGACCGATCTATCTGTACTAGACCATTCGCAACTAGCGAATACAGTGCACGAATAACAAGACCATTTCCATTTGGTTTGCCATGGTCGTTGAGCACAATACCCGCTTTGTTCTTAAGTTCGTTCACTCCCATCTCGCCTTCGTGTTGATACAGCAAATGAAGCAATACTGCCTCTTCCCGAATTGTTGGTGGGTTCGTATCTCGAGCTGTTAAGAGTTGAACGTCCACCATATGTCTCATCTTTCGTTTACGACGTGCAAGCTCTAATCGAAGCGAATCTACTCGCGACTGCACCTCCGCTTTCTCTTTCTTGATTTTAGCCAACTCCTCCTTTAATATTGGCAAGTCTTGAACGTTTTCTTCTAGTTTTTCTTCTGTTTCTTCTGCAGCTATAATTTCTCCTTTTAAAGTCTCTTTTTCCTCGCGAAGTTCTCTCAAAACCTGTTCTCTAGCCGCAGTTGCAGCATCTAGCTTGAACTCCACATTCTCTTTGTCTTGTTTTCGCTTAAGATCAGCTTTAGTTGCCTGACGTCGCGCCTTCTTTCGTTGTAATGAGTCAATTGCTGCCTCAATGTCTCTTTTCTCTTCAACGCGAAGAGCTACAGCCTCCTGTAACTCAACTATCTCCGACTGCATCTCCTGTTCCTCTTCTGCATCGTCTTGCATTAAATGAGAACTTGGTTCCATATCGGTCTCATTAACGGCATTATCTTCCTTTAAAGCTTGCAATTCAACTTCAAGTTCAGCGACGCGCTGCTCTCGCGTCTGCATCTGCTGTTCCCAGGCCGTCTCCTCCTGTGCCAGCTGACTTTCGACTTGATTCTGCAGAGTCACCTCGTCACCAGTCTTACGTATTTTGTCTTGATAAAGCTGAACAGTGTCGGACAGCGCTTCAAATCGTCGCTTTAAGCGATCACAGCGCTCAATAGTCTCGTTAGAACCATTATTTCGAGCAGTTTCCAGTGCTAGTCGATCCAGTGTTGATTGCCATGTATCGTGAAGCTGAGATGCATTTTTTTTGGCTGCATAAGCCGTGCTAGACACCAGTGAATACAGCGATCGGGTCGAGTTCAATGGTGATGTCGAAACGGGTTTACTATGCGTAGATGAAGAAGTAGAAGCTTGTAAGGAAAATATTGCATGCTTTGAAGGAGTGCGGAAAAGGCATGACTCGATGGATGCGCCTAACTCACGAAGATCGTCTGCGCAGAGCTCAAGACGACGAGCGTCTTCATTTAAGGACATGTCAATTTTGAAATTGTGATTATTGTAATTAAATTCAAACATATTGTATTAAATTTTTATTTGTAGATTTTAAATTCTTAACTTATACAAGCTGGTCATTTGGACCGTAATATGATTATATTAATGATTGCAGTTTAAAAATAGTTCAAAATTTGAAGTATTTAATTCCCCTCTAAGTTTCAAAATTGTATAGTCTTTAAGAGTTTAAATAGCTGGGTTTCAAACCCATTTTCAGAATGATTTTCTAAAAGGACATTCTCACGTTTTGGACATAAATATAGACTGTTATTTTTAAGTTGCTCAGAGCTTCAGAGCAAGAATGTGCAACATACAGCAGTTTCAACATCGAACCGTCGAGCAAGATCGAGTTATTCTCCACGCAATATCATGTCAGATGCAACGACAAAGAAGCTAACGGAAGAGATTGCGCGGCTTGAATCTGATCTAAAAACCCTTGAAGCTTCTTGCACAACATCAGAGGCAGCTAAGAAGTGAGTTTGCTTTAGATAGAAAATCAAACATCATCTAACTTATATTGTTGTTTGATAGAATTGCCGGGTACTGCCAAAGCACGGCAGATCCGTTTCTTGGAGAAAATGAAGGTGGGGTAAACCCATGGCAGCAAAGTGGTCAAGGTGGTGGCGGTTGTAGTATCTTATAAAAATCGAGCTACGAGGTCAATTTTACTAATTCTTTTCGATGCAAATTGGTATTCTGTACTACTATGTTGGACTGGGCAGTATCCTGACTATAGATAACACCGTTCAGGCTTCTTGCAAATGAGCTTACGCTCTTCTTGCCGATTAGATTCTGAAAACTCCCTCGCCAATTTCTTTACATTTGTACAAACTTGATATCTACTTGCAGCTAGAACGCCAAGTGCATCTTCCTATCACAATTTCAATGGCCACTCGGGTGACAACATGCACCTGTGCAATAGTCTTTGTCATCGAATCAACACAGAGAAGAGCGTTGGTTCTTTTAATGGACCTTCCGAGAGATTATCAAGGATGACCTGATGAAATACATCACACATGCAGTTTCTTGATAAGGAAATTGGTATGATCACACTTTTAAATTCTTGACTACCTGAATTGAAATGAGCAAAACTCGTTCCGTTTTCGTCGACGTGCAGATAATGAAGAGCCAAACACGGTGCTTAACGGCGTTGTCACATTCGGCAAAGCTACCTATAAACTCGACTTTTACACAAGCGTGCGAACATTGTAAAATATTGTTTTGTCTTTAATGTTTTAAACCAAACAAATGAGTCCTTCCTATTTCCTCCGTAAACTTCATATCGCCTCTTTCCACAACTAAAAGCATTGTCATCTTCTTTTCCTGCTCCTAAATTGTGGTCGCTTCAAGTTTTGCGGCGCACTCTTTCCATCCTTTTGTACTTTGTGCTTTCCTTTGGCACTTAACAGTTTAAGATCGTTCATCTGCGGTCTGCTGCATAGCGTTATCTAAGTCTTAAACTTAAACGTGCTCTACCATGTTTTTTGACATCGACTAGCAGCAGGCTGCTGAACGCTACATAACCAACATCACCCCGCAAACCGCCTTCTTCTCATACTCTTTAAATTCAAACCTCTTTTTACCTGTCACCTTAGCGCAGGCTACTTGTCAATTACCTCAGTACGACATGAACGCTATTTGTCTGTCTTCTTCTAATCGGCCTGCCGTTACTCTAGAATTGCTCCAATTTTAACAGCAAGACAAAATATGGAGATTCTGAACTGTTCGCGTAGGAACCTCTTTAATTTTAGCTGTGCCTTCCTCCTCACAGCTTGCACTCATAAATGTACTTAACAAAAAATACCAAGAGCATTTTTTGAAAAGTAATTTTATGAACACGAAAAGTCGCCGAAAATGACCCAATATTGTGACTTTTTGGGTTAGTTTTTTGATCGCCAATTCAAAACGAGCGATGTAAACAGTTAGACAATTAATTTCTTGATGAAAAAATGCCAGAACAATGATCAAAACATTTATGATTTTCTCAGAGAGATTGATAAACGCCGTAGTCCTTGGGCAATGCTGTCAGCATTGTCTTGTTACGCTCCTGGACATCAGTCAATCCAGCTTGGTTGAAAGGTTAAATGAACAAGGATCTCTTCAAATTGAAACGAAAAATCCCAAATGCCGTGATGATATTTTTTGTTTCGATCGGACACTTTTGTTAGTTAAGAATCTCCTCAATATCAAGTAATAAAATTGTGTTTTGTGTGTGGTTTTTAGTTTGTGAAGTTCGGTAAATCGTCGCTGCTAAAGATTTAAAGTTTGGTAGACCGGGTCGGTCCTTTACCACCAAAGTGCTCGCTTTGCACTTTCTTTTCATGGTTCCGTAGTTATTCATCAGTCATCGATTTAAATTTGTAGTGTCATCTGATGATTGCTTTAACAACTAATTTCCGATTGTGACGAAAACGCCGAAGCTACCACAAACTTCGTGCTTCCTCGACAATCTTTTTTCTTGCGTGTATATCTATCTATGCCAGCAGTACATTTACCCCATAAATTTATAGCAATTGGATGAAACAAGTGATGAAGCTCATGTTCCAGTTGATCTTTCTAGCAGGTACAAGGGTGAATGTGCCTAAGCAATTGCTGTAAATGGAGAGGATGTGAAGTATGTTGCAAAGATGTATGTAATTCAATTGGGATCACACAATCATACATGGTCTGATAAGGAGACATAGCGGCGAAGAACATAAATAAAATCTTAAAGCGATACCAAATTCACCACAAGAAGATTTAAATTAAAGTTTTATGCTGAATGATGAAGAATCGCACTTCTGTGTCTATCGCCATTACTTTCTTCAGACGATCAGTTCGTCTTTATCGTCTTGTTTGATCGGAACTCACAGAAAATAATTTACCAATACCGATGACAAGTAATGATAAATCTTGATATCACAATGGCTAGATACTCTGACGAATGGTGACAAATTGGATGATTAGTGAGGTAAAAGCGTTGCCATGTTTAAGCACTGCGTCAAATTGAGCGCTGATGTTTTTATCCCGCTTGCTGAAGAGGATAACAATATAGATAACATGAACACCATTGTGTTCGATCATGTGTGCACATCATTCGTTGTCATTGGATAATCGAAGGCGCTCCAAAGTCTTCATTAGCCAAACTGAAATCGACTTTCAGAATAACGGGCTCCGATGAGGGAGCCAGTACTTGTTTATTAATTTGATCATCGGCTGTATGAGTTTTTATCAGCTTTAACATCCTGAGATGAAGCAGAATGTTAGTAGCAGGATGATCTCTGCTCGGTGTTGACTCATCTTGTTTCGCTTTTACTCGGACTGCCCAAAATAAGCGATAACGCTGAGAATACATTTGAATGGCTTTCTTAGTTTCCGAATCATACATTCATGACTGAGAAAGCATGCACTAATCGTTCGTCACGGCGAGGAAAAACCCCTCATTCATGTCGGAGTAACGAGCGATATCTTTGAAGACACGATCAAGCGGCTCTATCTTTACATCCGTCTTTGAATATATAGCTGTCAATTTTTAAATGTGCCATGTAGCACATTTAAAAAACGATCTTTGAGTTGATGAAGTTTTATCGCGGTCTGATATAATTATCTCTGGAGTGCTATAACCCAAAGTGCAAACACGGAACGGCAGCTGATCGTTTGTTGGTAATTACTGTGGCGAGATTAACATATTTGCAGAAACGATTGTTTAGTATTATGCTCTACATATCTTTGGTGAAACAAAAAACAGAGTCGAGACCAATTGACTCGCCACTATCACTATGGGCTGACAATGGATTGGTTTCTAAAAATACGTAGCCGACTGCAATGATTATGAAAAAGTTGTCGTTATCATAATTAAATTATTTTGTCGTAACTCTACTAAAACCCACAAAAGCAATTAGCAAGTTTCACTTTAACTTCATCTATAATTGCTTCAGCGCGAATATCAAGATCATGCCACATGTTCAAGACAGATGCAGGACCAATGATGGAAGCCACAGCGTAAAAACGATCTCTTTCAATGTCATTTGAGTCTGAATACGAGGCATAAAGTAGTAAAGAGCCAGAACCCGAAGCATTTACCTCACGGACCAGTCGCCTAGTTAATTCATTCATGTCGACATGATGATAGTGGCGTAGCATCGTCTCGTCCAATGCTGATGTAGGACACGTAAGGCGGAAGGAAATT